TAGCACCCCCAGGCTCAGCACCCCCAGGCGTAGCACTACCAGGCGCAGCACCCCCAGGCTCAGCACCCCCAGTAGTAGCACCCTCAGGCTCAGCACCCCCAGGCGTAGCACCCACACGCTCAGCACCCCCAGAGTCAGCACCCCCAGGCTCAGCACCCTCAGCAGCACCAGAGTCACCAGTAACCTCGACAGGCTCGACTGCGTCTACCTGGGACACACCTGAAGGGGCAGGACCCTGAGGGGGGAGGGGGTCTACCGGGGGGGGACCTGGCACAAGGAAGAGCGGTGGCGAGGGGAGGGACGGAGTGCGGTAGGGGAAGAGGCGGTAGTAGGGGACCGACTCGTCAAACGTGACGTCCTGGGAGGACAGAACACGGTGAGAGGTGGGGTGGTAGAACTGCCACCCTGGCGCGTCAGGGGGGAAGCCAAGGAAGACGCAAGGAGCAGCACGAGGGGACAGCTTGTCCGCAGACAAGTCGCGGACAAACGCCCGAGATCCCCAGACACGGAACGCAGACGCATCGCCAACCTTCCCCGTCCACAGCAAAGCTGGGGAGGTCTCCGGCATGGAGACCCTGGGGTGAAGGCTGATCTGATGCGCCGCGTACCGAACCGCAAACGGCCACAGAAAATGGGGGGCACCCGCATGCATCATGGACGTACGGGTGACGTCCATGACCATGCCAATGCGGCGCTCAGCAATCCCATTTTGCTGTGGAGAGTCCGGAAGCGTGAAGGTCTGGCGGATGCCTCGTGCACGACAGTAGGCTCGCAGAAGGCCAGAGGAGAACTCTCCACCTCTGTCAGAGTGCAGACGCAGAACAGGAAAGTCCGAGCCGAAGCTCTGCCTGAGCTGGAGACGAGCTGCGCGGATCCAGTCGATCAACACCTCAGTGACATCAACCTTGCTGCGCAAGGGGAAGACCGTGGTGTAACGCGAGTAGTCGTCAACCACCAGCAGGAAGTAGCGCTCGTGACCCTGTCCACGGACGCGGGCCGGGCCCCACACGTCCATGTGAAGCGTCTGCAGCGGGGCCTCTGTCGGAGGAAACTGGGAGGAGTGAGGGGCAGCCCGCTGCCGCCCCTCGACACAAGGGACGCAGGTAGGGCCGGGCCCCGGAGGAAGGGGAGGGAGGGACCGGGGAAGACCAGAGACAAGAACACGGGAGGCCATGCCTCGGAGACGAAGCAGGGAGGGGTGACCAAGGCGGTGGTGCCAGAGGAGAGTCTCGTGCGACAGGAGGCGACACGAACAGGGGGCAGACTCAGGACCAGACCTGGACGCTGCAGCAAACACCTGACCCGACGCAGCTACCTGACCAGACGCAGTGACTGGAGGAGACGCAGTGGTCAGTGTGTACAGGCTCGACCCCGGCCGACGTGTAAACGTGGCCAGGTGTCGGCCTGTCCGAGCGTCCGTGCAGTGGGTCACCCGCTGACTCGCAGGAGTGAACTGGTGAACCCCCGCATCCTGTAGGTCAGCACCACTCACCAAGTTCGTAGAGAACGAGGGGAGGTAAAGACCAGACAGGGTGCCAGAGGGTGCCGCCGGACACGGGAGGACAGTGGAGAAGTGAGCAAGGACAGGACCCCCAGAGGGGTCTGCCAGAGAGACTGCAACTGGCCGGCCAAGCGGCGTGAGTGTGGTGCGGTCTCGAAAGAAGGAGCGAGAAGCCCCCGAGTCAAGGGTGAAGGTGTGGGAGGCCGAAGCCGACGCCGTACCTGAGAGAGCAGACTCACCAGCACCTGAGTGAGCAGACGCACGAGCACCTAGAGCAGCAGCCTCGCTAGCACCTAGAGCAGCAGCCTCACCAGTACCTAGAGCAGCAGTCTCAATGCCCGGGTCGGGCGGAAAACACCGGTAACAGTCACCCTCATCACTAATAGTCACAGCATACATGGCAGCAAGAATAGCATCAAAGTCAAGGTCAAAGACAGCCACACCCGCCCTAGACAGCTCGCCCCAGCGGGGGATCTCAGTGGCCTCAGGGAACTGGTGACACCAAGCGTCCGTCAGGCGGCCAAAGCAACGCTGGGTGGAGTGCGCACCCCCGCACTGCTCACCCGCGCGGTCGCCGGTGCGTAGGACGTAGGTGCACGGACCAGTACCCCCACCCCGCTGGCGTGCAGCGTACCACTCACGGAGCTGCTGAGGGGGGGGGATGTCACGAGTGCGCTGGTGCCGCTGCTGCTGCTGCTGCTGGCGCTGACCACCACCGGAGCCGACCCTCTGCCCAGCGCCACCCCGACCAGCTCCACCTCCTCCGCCGCCGCCTCCTCCACCGCCGCCACCTCCGCCACCTCCGCTCCCACCGCCACCGCCGCCGCCGCCTCCGCCTCCACTGCCGCCACCGACACCTCCACCCCCGCCACCACTCCCACCACCACCCCCACCCCCTCCACTGCCGCCACCGCTACCTCCGCCACCCCCGCCAGCCCCTCCAGCACCCTTGCCTCCCTTGCCCTTGCCGGTGCGGCGTCTCCCGCTCGGGGCAGACGCAGCGCCGACCGACTCGAGACCAACGAGGTCGGCCGCAGCAGCAGAGGCAACAGAGGGCAAAAGAGGGGAGGGGGAACACCCCTCAAAGATGGGGGTGCGAGGGTCACCACGAGAGGCTCCTACAGCTACTATGCTCTTTTCTGCTGCTAGGAGGGCCTTCTCGAGGAGGTCAACGGTGAGAGTGGTGGGGCAAACTGAGAGGAAGTGGTCCCTGACTACGCGAAGGGAGTCAGGGAGACGGGTGACTATGTAGTAGAGGGTGATGTACATGGGGGGGGGGTTCTTGGCGCAGAACTCAGCAGGAAGCGCAGCGCGGTAGCGAGTGTCACTAGTGCGGAGGTGCGTAATGAGGTCAGCGACTGTGGGAAAGGCAGCAAGGTCAGGGAAGAGGTACGGTAGCATGAGGCGGCTCAGTGCAGCAGTGGCAGGGGAGGAGTAGCGCGCAACTACAGCGTCGTACAAGGTGTGAGCACTCTTGTACTGGCTAAAGTGCGCACGCTCAGAGGTAGGCAGGTGGCGACGCACAGCAAGACGTGCAGCAGCATCGCGCGTGGCCCACTGTGAGCGAACAGTGGCGTCAGCATCAGCAGCGGGGGCAGGAGAGGCACCAGAAGTGAGGTCAAAGAGGGAGAGGCCGTCAGCCCTATCTCACTGTAAGAAAAGCTGCAGGTCATCTATCCAGACGTCAAAGTCAATGGCCCGACCCTCAGCGTCAAAAGAGAGGACACTAGGGGTAGCCATGACAGCAGTAGACTAGCAGCGCAAACAGTAGGGTGAGGGCAGTGCTGTGAAAGAGGCGCTGCTCTTACCGGACAGGGCGGCTCGGGCGGCTCGGCTGCAGGGCGGCTCGGCGGCTCGGCTGCTGGGCGGCTCGGCGGCTCGGCTGCTTGGCGGCTCGGCGGCTCGGCTGCTGGGCGGCTCGGCGGCTCGGCTGCTGGGCGGCTCGGCGGCTCGGCTGCTGGGCGGCTCGGCTGCTGGGCGGCTCGGCTGCTGGGCGGCTCGGCGGCATGGCGGCTCGGCTGCTGGGCGGCTCGGCTGCTGGGCGGCTCGGCGGGGCCGCTGAGAGGGCGGCGTCCGGGGCCGCTGGGAGGAGGCGGTGGGGCCGCAAAGGTAGGTGGCGGGGCCAGCAGGTAGGTGGCGGGGCCAGCAGGTAGGTGGCGGGGCCGCAAAGGTAGGTGGCGGGGCCGCGGGTAGGTGGCTGGGCCGCTGGTAGGTGGCGGGGCCGCAGGTAGGTGGTGGGGCCGCACAGGTAGATGGCGGGGCCGCGGGTAGGTGGCGGGGCCGCAGGTAGGTGGCGGGGCCGCACAGGTAGGTGGCGGGGCCGCGGGTAGGTGGCGGGGCCAGCAGGTAGGCGCCGGGGCCGCACAGGTAGGCGTCGGGGCCGCAGGTAGGCGCCGGGGCCGGAAAGGGCGGCGTCAGGGCCGCAGGGCGGCGCGAGGGCCGCTGGGTAGGCGACGAGGCCGCAGGGCGGCGGATCGGGGCCGGGTAAGGGCGGCGCGATGGCCGCGGGGTAGGCGACGAGGCCGCCGGGCGGCGGGTCGGGGCCAGGAAGGGCGGCGCGAGGGCCGTAAGGCAGGCGACAGGGCCGCTAGGGCGGCGCGACGGGGCGAGAAAAAAAAAAAGGAGGGGGGGGGAGCGCGACTCGGGCTAGGACTGAGCGCGCTCCGGGCAGAAAAAAAAAGTCGAATTGGTGGGCCCTAGGAACAGTTCCCACGAGGGAACCTGCTCGATACCATGATAAAATAGAAACGAGAATGGATGGACTAAGGGAAAGTTGGGTACAAATGTAAACCCTAGAAAACTGTACCCCATATGTGCTACCCCACTATAGCCTACAGTAGCTATGTCATATAAATCTGACACCCGTCGCTCTAGCTTTCCCCCGCCGCCCACTCCTTCTCCCGTTGCTCACGGTTTCCCCCGCCGCCCTTTTTTTCTCCTGTCGCTCTCGCTTTCCCCCGCCGCCCACTCGTCCCGTCGCTCTAGATTTCCCCCGCCGCCCACTCCTTCTCCCGTCGCTCTCTCTTTCCCCCGCCGCCCACTCCTTCTCCCGTCGCTCTCGCTTTCCCCCGCCGCCCACTCCTTCTTCCGTCGCTCTAGCTTTCCCCCGCCGCCCACTCCTTCTCCCGTCGCTCTCGCTTTCCCCCGCCGCCCACTCCTTCTCCCGTCGCTCTAGCTTTCCCCCGCCGCCCACTCCTCCCGTCGCTCTCTCTTTCCCCCGCCGCCCACTCCTTCTCCCGTCGCTCTCGCTTTCCCCCGCCGCCCACTCCTCCCGTCGCTCTAGCTTTCCCCCACCGCCCACTCCTTCTCCCGTCGCTCTCTCTTGCCCCGGACACCCACTCCCCTTAGCCCGTCGCCCTGGATTTCCCCCCGTCGCCCACTCCGTCTCCCGTGCTCTCGCTTTCCCCCGCCGCCCACTCCTCCCGTCGCTCTAGCTTTCCCCCGCCGCCCACTCCTTCTCCTGTTGCTGTCTCTTGCCCCCGACAACCACTCCCCTTAGCCCGTCGCCCTGGATTTCCCCCCGTCGCCCACTCCGTCTCCCGTCGCTCTAGATTTCCCCCGCCGCCCACTCCTCCCGTCGCTCGCGGTTTCCCCCGCTGCCCTTTCCTTCTCCTGTCACTCTCGCTTTCCCCCGCCGCCCACTCCTCCCGTCGCTCTCGCTTTCCCCCGCAGCCCACTCCTCCCGTCGCTCTCGCTTTCCCCCGCCGCCCACTCCTCCCGTCGCTCTAGCTTTCCCCCACCGCCCACTCCTTCTCCCGTCGCTCTCTCTTGCCCCGGACACCCACTCCCCTTAGCCCGTCGCCCTGGATTTCCCCCCGTCGCCCACTCCGTCTCCCGTCGCTCTCGCTTTCCCCCGCCGCCCACTCCTCCCGTCGCTCTAGCTTTCCCCCGCCGCCCACTCCTTCTCCCGTTGCTGTCTCTTGCCCCCGACACCCACTCCCCTTAGCCCGTCGCCCTGGATTTCCCCCCGTCGCCCACTCCGTCTCCCGTCGCTCTAGCTTTCCCCCGCCGCCCACTCCTTCTCCCGTCGCTCGCGGTTTCCCCCGCCGCCCTTTCCTTCTCCTGTCACTCTCGCTTTCCCCCGCCGCCCACTCCTCCCGACGCTCAAGCTTTCCCCCGCCGCCCACTCCTTCTCCCGTCGCTCTAGCTTTCCCCCGCCGCCATTTCCTTCTCCCGTCGCTCTCGCTTTCCCCTGCTGTCCACTCCTTCTCCCGTCGCTCTAGATTTCCCCCGCCGCCCTTTCCTTCTCCCGTCGCTCTCGCTTTCCCCCGCCGCCCACTCCGTCTCCCGTCGCTCTAGCTTTCCCCCGCCGCCCACTCCTCCCGTCGCTCTATCTTTCCCCCGCCGCCCACTCCTTCTCCCGTCGCTCGCGGTTTCCCCCGCCGCCCTTTCCTTCTCCTGTCACTCTCGCTTTCCCCCGCCGCCCACTCCTCCCGTCGCTCTAGCTTTCCCCCGCCGCCCACTCCTTCTCCCGTCGCTCTCGCTTTCCCCCGCCGCCCACTCCTTCTCCCGTCGCTCTAGATTTCCCCCGCCGCCCTTTCCTTCTCCCGTCGCTCTCGCTTTCCCCCGCCGCCCACTCCGTCTCCCGTCGCTCTAGCTTTCCCCCGCCGCCCACTCCTCCCGTCTCTCTAGCTTTCCCCCGCCGCCCACTCCTTCTCCCGTCGCTCGCGGTTTCCCCCGCCGCCCTTTCCTTCTCCTGTCGCTCTCGCTTTCCCCCACCGCCCACTCCTCCCATCGCTCTAGATTTCCCCCGCCGCCCACTCCTTCTCCCGTCGCTCTCTCTTTCCCCCGCCGCCCACTCCTTCTCCCGTCGCTCTCGCTTTCCCCCGCCGCCCACTCCTTCTCCCGTCGCTCTAGATTTCCCCCGCCGCCCTTTCCTTCTCCCGTCGCTCTCGCTTTCCCCCGCCGCCCACTCCTTCTCCCGTCGCTCTAGCTTTCCCCCGCCGCCCACTCCTCCCGTCGCTCTCTCTTTCCCCTGCCGCCCACTCCTTCTTCCGTCGCTCTCGCTTTCCCCCGCCGCCCACTCCTTCTCCCATCGCTCTCGCTTTCCCCCGCCGCCCACTCCTCCCGTCGCTCTCGCTTTCCCCCGCCGCCCACTCCTCCCGTCGCTCTAGCTTTCCCCCGCCGCCCATTCCTTCTCCCGTCGCTCTCGCTTTCCCCCGCTGCCCACTCCTTCTCCTGTTGCTCTCGCTTTCCCCCGCCGCCCACTCCTCCCATCGCTCTAGCTTTCCCCCACCGCCCACTCCTTCTCCCGTCGCTCTCTCTTGCCCCGGAAACCCACTCCCCTTAGTTCGTCACCCTCCCTTTCCCCCGTTGTCATTGCTTCCCCCATCGCCCTCGTTTTCCCCCGCCGCCCTCTCCTTCCCCCTTTGCCCACGTTTTCATCCGTCACCCACCCTTTCCCCCGTCACCCTCTCATACACCCGTCGGTTTCTCCGTCACCCACCCTTTGCCCACGGTTACCCCTGTCTCCCACCCCTTCCCCCGTCACCCTCTCTTACACCTGCCGCCCTCGTTTCCCTCTGCCGCCCTCGTAACCCCCTTGCCTTCCCTCTGCCTGCTACCCTTGGCTGTGTGCACTCACCTGCCTGATTCTCCCCCCTCTCCTTCATTCGGGGATCCTTCCACCCTCGGCACTCTCTCATTACTCCTCCCTTCTCACCACCCCTCCTCCCGCCCCTCTCCACCACCCTCAACCCATCTCTGGGTATAGCAGATGGCTTACAATTGCAGAGTGTGCGGAGCTGTCGGGTTCTCTGGTAGGGGTCCGCTCACAAACCATCAAAATGGCGAAACGTGCAGAGCCACCGCCGCAAATCGGTCTGCGACTGCTGAATCATCACGCTCCATAGAACTTCCACGCACCACGCAAGCTACCATGCCACGACCTATGTTGGACATACCCACAACAACTGCACCCATGCCTGACACCCCGCAACCTCCTCCTCATACTTCAATCCCCACCATTCCTGAGCCCGAAACCCACTCAGAGGAGAGGGCTGAAGGTGATGGCGTAGGGGATGGTGGGGCGGCGTCAGGAGGTGAGAGCGACACATTCAATTTTGCAGATGCATTCGCTCATTTCCTGCTTACCTCCAATCTGTCCTAAAGTGCTGTTGATAAGTTGCTCCTGATCTTGAACCTTGGTTCAAAGTTCAATGACGACGTTGTCGTTTTCAGGAATGCGCGAGACGTTGAAAAATACGTCGATGAACACATCCCAGATCCACACCGTAACTGGAGACGAGCTCTTGTGCGCGTACAGTCAAAACCTTCGTTATATATTTTTTTTTGTGATGGTGTCATTGGGATGATTGACCTTTTGACACATCCAAAGAACGCGGACAAACTCGTTCTTAAACCCACGTCGCGCAACCCCGGTGAGACACATGTATACTCATCATCCGAATCCGGGGATTGGTGGTTTACTTTGCACAATGAGGTCAACAAAGTGGACCCGGACGGGGTCGTGGTTGCTCTGATATTGTCGAGCGACGAGACACATATGGACCAAAGAGGCAAGGCCAAGGGTCATCCAGTGTACCTGACACTGGGAAACATCGACAAGCATGACCGTTGGAAGCCGTGGGGCCATGTACTGCTTGCTTTGCTTCCAGAATTCACGCCTCAGTACGATTCGCTAGACAAGTTAATTGTCTTCCAACACATCCTTTCGATGGTCATGGAACCATTGCGGAAGGCCTCACACACCGGAGTGAGGGTCCAGGACCCTACTGGTGCCACGTACAACGCGTGGCCTGGTTTGTACGCATACGCATGTGACTATCCTGAGTCGTGCAAGGTGACTTGCACAAAATCGGGGGCCACAGGCTTTCCGTGCTCGTTGTGCACAGTCGCTGTTGCTGAGACCAACAAACTACTTCCTCGCATCGTCCCTCGTACTCCACACTTGCAAAAGGGCATTACCTCGCTTGGTCCGGACTGCGCCATGCGAGGACGTGTGGCTAGTTAATAAGTTCATGTTTTAAACTAGTAACCCATAGGAGAATAATGGTTCTTCCGTTTTGTCACTTCTAACTATTGTGATTGACTTGTTGAAACTTTATGCGATGCTTGCGTAGACAATGTCGTATCGCTTTGCATATAATACAATTCGTCAATTTAAACAAGTCGTCAGGCTTGCTGCATGATCAAAATATGAAAGTACAAAACGGGTGATGTATTGTAATGTAGTCTTTCGTTTCTTTTTTGATCGTGATAGGAAAATTGTTGTTTGTAATGGATATGTTTGTGACATGCTGAGGTGGCACGCGAAAACAAAGTTACCACCATGGTGGGTGGATGAGATTGACTACTGGACGCGACGCGCAGCACATAGCTGCTCACGTGCGATAGGGAATGCATGTGAGTTGACTATGGGCCCAGATTCTCTTTTTATTTTACCAGTTCGCGCCATCAGCGCGTGGCCCTTTTTGTTTTTTTACTACACATTCATTCATCATTTTCCCGAAGGTAGTTAATTTCCAGTTATGCGTGGAAGAATTAATGTTTCCGAAAATAACATCCCCATATGGACGAAAAACGTGAAACATTCAAAACTGCGGAAACACGGGCAGGGATGCTTTGCTACCTAAATTTACGACAGCAAAACAGTAAAATACCGTGGCTGCCAAAACGGGACCACGTAAACACATTGACGCGCGACGCAACGCCACGACGCAGTCATGCCTGATACCACGGAATTGTCGAATCACCGCCAATTGAATCTGGCAGCTGGAACAGGTGAGGGATCTGCGTGGCAAACCTCGTGGAAAAAAAATGGTCATTCTCCAACCATAAACAGTCGCATCTATCGTCTGTGACTGTGTCAGTCGCAAACGCGTCGTTATGTCTGGTGTGGTTGGTACAGCCTGTGGCGGGAAACGATTGCTGGCACCGGACGACCAAACGGGTCTGGTTACACTCGGGCGAGATGGTGCAGTGCTGGACGATACGGCGATCAAAAACGACTCCGACGAACCTGCCGCTAAGTTCCAGGAGCTCGTCGAGTGGATGCAAGCCATGAAGGCACAGGGCATCCTACCGAGTTGTTGCGTAAGAAAGCCAAAAAGGGCAGCATGGCAGAGACTAACGGTGGAACAGCTATTACTACCCCTGCCCAGCTAGTCACTGCGACTGCTACTCTTCCTTCCGTAACTGAATTTTTACCCTCGGCACTAGATCTGACTGGGCTGTTAGAAGACGCAGCAGAAGTCGCCACGGAGGCCGTGGAGCATCTTAACGCTCACGGCCTCCCAGTTATCTCTCGGGCTCGCTCACGTCCTCCGCGACGGGGCCGCGACGGCCCCGACCCTGCCCCGACCCCGTCCCGGCCCCGACCCTGTCCCGGCCCTGTCCCGGCCCCGGCCCCGACCCTGCCCTGGCCCAGTTGCGGCCCCGTCCCGGACCTGCCCCGGCCCCGACCTTGTCCCGGCCCTGTCCCGGCCCCAGCCCCGACCCTGCCCTCGCCCCGTTGCGGCCCCGTCCCGGACCTGCCCCGGCCTTGCCCCGACCCTGCCCCGGCCCTGCTCCTGCACTGCCTCGGCCCGGCCCCGGCCCTGCCCCGGCCTAGCCCCTGGTAAGAGCATCGCCGAGTCGAGTCGCGCTGCCGAGCCGAGCCGCCCTACCGAGCCGCCCTGCCGAGTCGCGCTGCCCTGCCTAGCCGCGTCGCTTAGTCGCACTGCTGCTGCTGCTAGCCTACTGCTGCTCCTGTCATGGCTAGTCCTAGTGTTCTTACCTTTGATGCTGAGGGTCGAGCGGTCGACTTCGATGTCTGGCTAGATGATCTGCAGCTTTTCCTACAGTGCGATAGCAAGGATGGTCTCTCACTGTTCGATCTCACATCTGGCACCTCTACTGCCCCTGCTGCTGATGCTGACAGTACTGTTCGCTCGCAGTGGCTCACGCGCGATGCTGCTGCCCGCCTTGCTGTGCGTAGTCACCTACCGTCTACTGAGCGCGCGCACTTTAGTCAGTACAAGAGTGCCAAGACTCTGTACGACGCTGTAGTTGCACGCTACTCTTCCCCTGCCACTGCTGCACTTAGCCGCCTCATGCTGCCGTACCTGTTCCCTGACCTCGCCGCTTTTGCCACAGTCACTGACCTCATTACGCACCTCCGCACCAGTGACACTCGCTACCGCGCTGCGCTTCCTGCTGGGTTCTGCGCCCAGAACCCCCCCCCCCATGTACATCACCCTCTACTACCTAGTCACCCGACTCCCTGACACTCTTCGCTCGGTCAGGGACCACTTCCTCTCTCTTTGCCCTACCACCCTCACTGTCGACCTCCTCGAGGAGCGCCTCCTTGCAGCAGAGACTAGTATTACCGCTGTAGGAGCCTCTCGTGGTGACCCCCGTACCCCTTTCTTTGAGGGGTGCTCCCCCGTTCCTCTTTTGCCCTCCGTTGCCTCTGCTGCAGCTGTCGACCTTGTTGGCACCGAGTCGGTCAGCGCTGTGTCTGCTCCTAGTGAGAGGCGCCGCACCAGCAAGGGCAAGCGGGGCAAGGGCGCTGGAGGGGGTGGTGGGGGCAGCGGTAGTGGCGGTGGGGGCGGAGGAGGGGGTGGGGGTGGGGGTGGTGGCAGAGGTGGGGGCTTCGGTGGCAGCGGTGGAGGTGGAGGTGGCGGTGGCGGTGGCGGGTGGGGTGGCGGAGGTGGAGGCGGCGGCGGCGGAGGTGGAGCTGGTAGAGGCGGAGCTGTGCAGTGGGGACCCCAGCACCAGTCACGCTCTCGTGAGACCCCGTCGCCCCAGCAGCTTCGTGAGTGGTACGCGGGGCGCCAGGGGTCTGGGGGTGCTGGTCCCTGTGCCTACGTCCTGCGCACAGGCGACCGCTCTGGAGAGCAGTGTGGTGGCCAGCACGCCACCCAGCGCTGCTTTGGTCGCCTGACAGACGCCTGGCGTACCCAGTTCCCTGACGCCACTGAGATCCCTCGCTGGGGTGATCTGCTCAAGTCGGGTGTAGCTATCTTTGATCTTGACTTTGATGCTATTCTTGCTGCCATGTATGCTGTGTCTATTAGTGCTGAGGGTGACTGTTACGTGCGTGTTCCGCCTGACCCGGGCATTGAGGCTGCTGCTCTAGGTACTCGTGAGTCTGCTGCTCCAGGTGCTAGTG